ACAGGAGGCTCACTGTGCACAACTGTCATTCTGCAGCTCTTCCTCCCACCATGGAGAAGATGAGGGAAGGAGGAGGGGCATGACACAGCCAGGGTGACTCTGGGCACTGCAGCCTCTCCGCACCTGCCCAGAGGCCCAGGGAAGGATCTGTCTGAGGGACTTCTCAGTGACCTTTGGAAAATGCTTGAGGCAGACTTGTAGCCCCCTCCAGGAGGATCCCGGCACCCCCAACACTGCTCCATCTCTCAGCTGTCAGCATCACTACCTGCCTCCCCATGCACTTCTGTAGTAGTCCCCTGAACCTCAATAAGCATAGCCCTCACTCAAAGTCTTCCCTCATTCATAAAGTCATCCATTCATTCTCAGACACTGACAGCCCTGCTTACTATGAACTGCACACCATTCCACATACAGACACTGAGTGTTGGGTTTTCTCTGCTCACACCCTCGCCACAGTCCATTCCTTGTTCTTCTCTGTGCTCAGAGGGTAAGTTCTATAGCCTGCATCACCAGGCTCTCTTATCCCTGGTTCAGCTGGGCTCAGCTAATGGGCGCAATGGACCATGATCAGGGGCAGGAGGAGTGAAAGGTAGAAAGATGCATCATCTCATTCTTCCATTTCAGCATGTGTGGGAGTCAACCTCCCAGAAGCCCTCCTTGTCCCTCCCTCCTGCTATCTGTATTCTGGATGGTCTCCTTCTTCCCTATATCAGGGTTGACTGGGAATCAACAGAACGGACAGAATGACAGAAAGTGATGGCACGTGACTTCTGAGACTAGGTCATGGATGGTATCCTGGCCTTTTGGATAAGCTGGCTCCATGATATGAGGACACTCACGTAGTCCTGTAGAGACTCTTGCCAACAATTTCATAATGTGCCATCTTGGAAGTGGACCTGCCAACCTCTGACAAATCTGTTACTTGAAGTTGTGACCAATGTCTTAAGACACCCTATGGTAGGATGCCTTAGCTAATTTGTCCCTGAATCAGTCTTGTACAGAGACTGTACAACAAGAAACATTTTTTTTTTGCTTATTTGGTTTTGTTTTGTTTTTGTTTTTAAGTTGTCCAGGCTGGAGTGATCCTCCTACTTCAACCTCCCCAGTAGCTGGGACCACTCTACCTGGCTTAATGTCTGTTGCTTTGAGGTACTAAATTTTGGGATAATTTGTTATATAGCAATAGATATTAGATATTCCAGCAGGTCTTGGAAGAGGTGTTCTCACTCTGGCTCCAGTAACACAGCTTCCTTCTCTTGTCCCTTTCCTGCTAAAAACTTCCTTCTTCTGTGGTCTATGGACATCTCAATGTCCCCTGTTGATTTCTTTTATCCTGTCCACAGCCCTTTATTAAACTCTTAAAAATTCCCAATGGAATGTGTGGCATGCCTCCTGCCTGATGCAGGATGTAATTGTGAACAAGACAGATGACCCTTTGGAGTTTATATTCTAGTGGGAAAAGCAGATAGCAAAGTACCCAGTGAGTAAATATGCTCTAATTTGGATTATTTTTGGGTGTATTGTACTGGGGATTGAACTCAGGGCCTCATGCTTTCCAGACAGGTGTGCTATCACTTGCGCCATGCCCCCAGTCCTTTTAGTTTTTTTTTTTTCATACAGGAGACAGGGTCTTATGATAACTGCCTAGGCTGCCCTAGAAATGCAATCCTCTTATCTCTGTCTCCACAGTATCTGGGATTATAGGTGTTCACCACCACACCCAGCTAATTTGGATCTTAAATATCCCTCAAAGGCCCATGTGTTAAAGGCTTGGTCCTCAGTTTGGTGCTACTGGAAGGTGCTGGAACCTTTAAGAGGCAGGGTTTAGTGGGAGGTGTTAGGTCATTGCAGGTGTCCCCTTCAAGGGGACAGTGAGACCCCATCCCCTTCCTCTTTCTCTCTTCACACCTGGCTATGAGATGAACGTGCCTCCTCTGCCATGTGCTCCCACCATGGTGTGTTGCCACAGGCCCAAAACAATAAGGCTAATCAGTTATGGACTAAAACCTCCAAAACTGTGAGCCAAAACAAAACCTTTCTCTTTTTAATTTGATTATCTCAGGTATTTGTTAGAGTAATGGAAAGCAATAAGTGAGGCAATTTCAGAGACCAGAAAGTGCAATAGAGAAATAAATGACGAATTACAGAGAACAGGAGGCATAGCCTGGTCAACCAAAGGAAGGCTGATCCAAGAAGGCCTTTGGGAGGACGTTTAGGTTCAGTTGGATTGGAGAAGGAAGTGTGGTCAGAAGAGGCTGTGAGGTCCAAGGGGACAGCAAAATCCTTAAGGTAGGAGAGGATCTGAATGTACCAGGACAGACAGGAGCTTATGTGGGTGGCTGGAGCAGAGTGTTCAGGGCTGAGAGTGGGAGAGATGAAATCAGAGATGGAGGTTTTCTTGTGGTGCTGGATGTGGAACCCAGTGCATCACACATGTTAGGCCAGTGCTCTACCACTGACCACACCCCAGCCCTGGAATTTAGGTTTTATTTAACGTTTTTTTAGAGGTACTGAGGTTTGAACTCAGGGCTTTGCAATTGCTAGGCAGGTGCTCTACCACTTGAGCCAGGTCCCCAGCCTGGATTTTATTTAAACACCACACTGAAGGATTTTCATCAAGGTCCATGTGTAATCCAATTAATCTGTGGCACTAATGAGCTCTTTGGCTGTTCCCCAGAGAACAGAACATAGGAAGGCAGTGCAGATGCCTGGAGCCCAGGTGGATGCTATTTTAGTAGCCCTGAAGACCAGAATGTAGTAGAGGGGAGGGGAGCAGAAGGGACAGACTAGCAGGGCAACAAGCAGCACTATGGTGACAGAAGAGCAGCCTTCACCTGGACAAGTGCAGGAGTGTGAAAGTCCAGCCCCCGCCCACTCTGGGTCTGGGCCTGAGGCTTCCTGGCTTCCCTTCTCCCCCATCAGGCTTTTGCAGAGGTTAGCCATCTTATCAGTGGGAAGGGATATTGTCTTGTAGCTGCTTCCCTATGAGATCAGCCAGGAAAGGCTATTTTCCTTCCTCCCATCAAACAGCAGATGGAGACCTGCCTTGTAGTTGATGGTCCTGTCTAAAACTCCTAGTCCCATAACTTGAGCTATTAGGAGGTTCTCAGGCACAAAGAGTTTACAGGAAGTCCTGGTCAGGTCTCCAGAGCTCCAGCAGGGCCGATTATACTCTAGCTGGCTCTGGAAATCCCAGTCAGACAGCAGCAGCAGCCTGTGCTTTCTACGACTCTGAGCCTGTTAGGCTCATGCTTCCCACAACTGACCTGCTGGGCCTCAGCATCCTGCCAGCACACAGTAACAGCTCTCTGCAGTTGTCACCGGTCACACATGCTGGCGCCCATCTTATTCAACTCTCCAAACAGCTTGGTAGCTTTGTATGGGAAGACATGATTTCTTTTTTTGGGTTTGAACTCAGGGCTTTGCACTTGCCAGGCAGGTGCTCTACTGCTTGAACCACACTTCCAGCCGTTTTTGCTCTGGTTATTTTTGAGATAGGGTCTTGCTTTTGCCTGGGTAGGCCTGGCTCTCAATTCTGCTATTTTATGCTTCCTGACAGGTGAGTTGCCACCCTGTTTACCTTTTTCTGTTGACTTTTTCACTTGGGCTGGCCTCGAACCACAATTCTCCCAATCTTCACCTCCCAAGTAGCTAGAAATACAGGCATGAGCACCTAGCTGAGAGGTGATTTTGATGTCCATTTCAGGTAGAGGAAAGCAAGTTCAGGTAATCAAGTGATCTAGGAAAGGCCATACCATGCAGGGCACTGAAGGTTTGTGTCCCTCCCCCAAGTTTTGCATGTTGAAATTCTAATCCCCAAGGTGACACTATTATATGGTAGAGCCTTTGGGAGGTGATTAGGTCCTGAAGGGAGCCCTTGTGATGGGATTAGTGCTGTTATAAGAAGAAGTTAGAAGCCAGGGTAGTGGTACACTGCTATAATTCTAGTTTACTTGAGAGGAGGAAGTAGGACTGAGGTTTGAGGCCAGCCCAGGACCTATCTGAAGAAAAGCAAAACTAAAAGCAAAAGGGCTGGGGGTTTGGCTCAAGTATAGAGCAATTGAGTTCAAATCCCAGTACTGTCAAAACAAACAAACAAAAATATTAAAAGAGAGAGAGCCTAGAGAGCTTCTTGCCTACTTTCTACCATGTGAGGACCATAGGAAAAGGATGCAGTCTGTGGCCAAGAGAATTTTCACTTGACACCCTGATCTCAGACTTCCAGTCTCCAGAACTGTGAGAAATAAATTTGTATTAACAGTCACCTAGTCTACCGAAGACTAGCAGCCTGAACTAACAAACCCATGTTTGTCCCCTCCAGTCCTACTCAGACAGGAGGGGCCAGGTGATAGGAGCTCCGGGGTCCTCCTCTCCTCGTCGTTTGGTCCTGTTTCACCTGTCTGAACAGGTGATCAACCTGTGTCCTGCCCAGCACCAAATTACCCCTACAGTTCTCATGGAGGTATAATCATTCTCAGATTACCTGAATTTTGTTTTCCTCAACTCTCAGATGGCCATGAAAATAATATGTTGCCTATTTCTTGTTCTAGAAAAGGCAGGGGTCTGGCACCTGCGGGGCCTCCTCATAGGCCTATTTCCAGTGCTTTCCTGCTTCCCCAGGTTGGAACATATGCAATCTGAATGAGAAGTGAGGCTGGTTGGCTCCCTATGGCTCTTGGCACCAACTAGCGCCTCTCTCCCAGGCTTGGAGGATCCTGGTCCGCCAACCCTCATTACTGGCTTTTCTTACTGTCTCGTATTTGAGCCCAGTATCCTTGCCTTCTGCTGCCCCTGGCCAGTTCCTGGCACCGCCCACCCCCGCCCCCCAACCAGCCCCCAGAGGAAAGGCCCTGGACAAAGTCACAGATGGGGCTGGCCCCAGGAGCCTCCTTTCCCCCAGCAAAGTTCCAGCTTCCTGGGTTACAATTGTCAGGTCTGTGCTCTGAGAGGCGCCCACCTCACACCCCAGGACCTGGCTGGCTCAGCCACAACCGCCCTACCGGCTTGGGGCAGTGGATGTAGCGTGCCAGGCTGATGATGAGATCATGTGTGATGGGGTCCACCAGGTTCCTGAAGCTAGCGTAGCGATACAGAACGTCATCCAGTGAAGTTGACTCCATGCCCAGGTCCTGCAAGAGCAGAGGATGCCCAGAGGTCAGGGGTGATACCCAAAGGTCAAGTGCCACTCAACTCACCTGGTGTGCCCAGGAGAAGTGAGTGCAGCTGAGGCAGCTCAGTCTCTCCCAGAGCCCAAGCAAGGAAGCCCTGAAGAACACACTCAGAGGACCAAGACAAGCCCCTGCCTGTTTCATTAACTCTAGCTGAGGGAGTGCAGGGACCTGCATCTGCAGGATTCCAGGCTTTGCAGTTTGTACAGGTCCTAGTGTGAACCTCTCCCTAAAGAGCCCCACTAAACCTCGCCTCTGGATTCTCTAAGGATGAGGCAAGGGTCACTGGTTTCAGCCCTGGTGGCTGCTTCTCCCTGGGGGCCAAGTTTGGAACTGGTTCATACAGCCTTGGATAGTTGGACAGACTGCTTCTTCTGCAGATGGTGTTCCTTTGCCTTGGAGGTTTTTTGATTTGGGAGGTTCTAAGGAGAAGCTTTCAGGCACCCAGAAGAGAACCTCAGCCTGACTCCCTCACAAAGGGTATGAAGTGAGGTCCTCCTAACAGGAAGAGATGGAGAGGAGCACCACTGAGTAGGCAGGGAGATGGCACAAACCACTGGGGCAGAGGTTCCTCTCGTCTGAGGAGCGACAAGCGTTTGGGGGTGATGAGGTTCAGGCTATGCTACCCCAAAATATGTCATCATGGCATTTGAGGAAACAGCAGAAACAGGGAGGCCTCCCTGACCTACTCCCTCCCTTCTCCCCTGAAGCAGGCCACAAAAGAATTCTGTGACCTTCCTTGAATGGGTCATAGCCTCATTCAAGAGATATTCCCTCTATACCTAGAGAAAGGGAAAGTCTTTATTCTTTGAAAACACAGAGATACCAAGAATAATCTGAATAAACAAGCCTTGCTAAGTTCCCCCCAATGTATCATCAAATTGTACCCCTTTGTCACCAATCAGACTTCTACACACTGTCCATGGACATACACAGATTTCTATTTCTTTAGGTTTTTATTTTTTGTAGTACTGGAGATGGAACCCAGGACTTCCTGTGTGCTAGACAAGTGCTGCACCTCTGAGCTACCCTGCAGGCCATCTCTGGGTCTTTAATTCTGAAGTTTCCCAACATGTCAAACAAATTTTGTACCTTATACGTTTCTGTGCTTTTTTCTTGTGAATCTGTCCTTTATCGTAGGTCTCAGCCACGAATTTTACAGTGGGTGAGGAAAAGATACGACCTTTTCTCCCCTACAGGGGGCACCATACACCAAGAGCCTGCCTGCCATCAAGGGTTGCCAGGGTATGGCAGAGAGCAGACACCAGTACAGATTCGGATCCAAGGGCCCTACTCCAATTGTTCTGGGCTGCTGAAGATTCTTGCACAAGGCCAGGGAAAGGGCAGTTCCCCTCCCACTCCCAACAGGACTAAGCCTGAATTTCCCACAACTTGGCTGCTGGGAGCACGACGTGGAATTCTTTGCTTTAGTAAAGAAACACATTTTGTCTACCCTGGAGTGTTGGACTAACACTAAAAATTTGCTGGGCCCTGGGCAGGAAATGTGGGGGTGACTGGCTGAATTCTAGCGAGGGCTTGTTCCTGTCACTGGGTGGGATATTTAGAACTTTTCTAAACACCTTCCTATGTGATTCTTAGAAGTACTAGATGTAGCCACCGCCATCTGAGGGGCCATGATTTGGCCATCCTTTCCATTGTCCCTGTGTGGAGACACAGGGAACAAGACTGGCAAGCCCCGCTTTGTCCCATGCAAGGTGACAGGCCGCTCTGGTTCTCTGCTGATGCCTCAGGGGCATTGACATTGTGTCAGCTCCTGTGCTCAAGAAGCTGCTGCTGCTGGCTGTTATAAATGACTGCTACACTTCAGCCAGGGGCTGCACTGCTACCCTGGGCAACTTTGCCAAGGCCACCTTTGATGCCATCTCCAAGACCTACAGCTACCTGACCCCTGACCTCTGGAAAGAGAGCGTGTTCACCAAGTCTCCCTATCAGGAATTCACTGATCATCTTGTGAAAACCCACTCCAGAGTCTCTGTGCAGAGGACCCAGGCTCCAGCTGTGGCTACAACATAGGACGTCTTATTCAAGAAAAATAAAGTGAATTAACCCTGTTAAAAATGTCCTCTCTATAGATGAAGAAAGAGGCCCACTCCGACTTCTTTCACCGCCAGCATTTCAAGCATGGCACAGTGGGACTGCATCCTCCTTTCCCCACCACTGGGGTAAGCTGGCCAGTGGCACCGGAGGGAGGGCAGGGATAAGGTCCTGTGTTTTGTATCAGGAGGGGCCGGTTTAGGAGCTCTGTTTTCCACTTGGCAGGAATAAGCCTCAGAGGCAAACTGCAGTGCTGTGTGCCAGGTTCTCTGCTAAAATAGCTGTCTGGAGAGCTGGATCTGGGGACCCAAATGTGGTGTAGCAGTGTGGAGGGACTTCTGAGGCAGTGGCTGCCAAGTTCCAGGACTGGGTCCTTTGCAAAAGTAAGTGCAACACTGGCTTTGACCTCTGTCCATGCTCTGGTTTGTTCACTGCCTCAGCCTAGAGCCCTAAGGCAAGGTACCTAACACCACTGAGCCTGCTTCCTCCTCTGAAATGGGGACAGCAGACTCAGTACCACAAGGTGGTGAGAGAAAACCATAGGCAAAGCCTCTGGCAGGGGTGAGTCTCCACCAGTGGCTCCCCCACTTTGCTCCCCTCTACTTCCCCATGGGGCCCCCCTTTCTCCCCATGCAGTAGTGCTTGACCACAGATCCTTTCTGGGCCACAGATCCTCTGAGAATGTGTCAAAGCACGAAATCTCTAGTAAAACATAGGAGCCAGGGCAGGGCAGGAATCTTGGCATAGGAAGTCCACACTGGTTTTGTGGTCAGGAGGGTGTGTCCGACTGTGTGGACATGTGGGATCCCAGGGAGCACACTACTGTCCAGTAATGTGCAAAACACACCCCACCCTGCCCCGGGCAGGAGGAGGCTGAGAAGGCAGAAAGGCCACAAGTGGTAGGGTGTGTATTATAGGGTCTGCAAAGGCCCATGTGCTCAAAGGGTTGTGTCCTAGCTTCTGGCTTCCCAACCTTATAGCTTGAGACTCCCTTTTTCAGGGACAGGGAGATGGGGAAGGAAAGCAGAGGAATGGGGTGGAAACAGGGTTTCCCATAACAAGAGGGAGATCAGAGGCCTGAGGTTCTCTCTCTCCCTTCTTTCCTTTCTTCCCTTCCTCCCACCAACACTTTTCTGGGGGGAGCAGGGAAGCAGCTCAAGCTGTCCTCAAACTCAGAAACCTCCTGCCTCAGCATCCTGAGATGCTGGGATTATAGGTATGCTCCACCATGCACAGCTTAGGGGTTATCTTTCTTTTAGTCTGTCTTGAAAGCTGGGCTGCTCCTCTATGGCTGTCAATTTAATGCCAGCCTCAGTCCCTTCCCACTTTGCCCCTGTGTACCCCACTCCTGAGTGTACCCTTGTCCCCTAGTGGTCTCAGGTCCCAATCGACCTCCAACTCCCTATAAGTCTGTGGCTAGAAGAACTTCTTCTTGGGATTTGTCTTCCCATCTGAGAAATGGGAAAATGAGAAACTCCAACAGTAGTTAAACAAACTGTGTTCCAAGGTTTTGGGGCTGGCAGGTGGAAACAGGACCAGGGTGGCCAGAGGAACCCTCAAGACTGTGGGTCATGATTCTTGGCAGAGCAGCTCTTGGTTTCAAACAAACGAACAAATAAAATATCACTAAAGAAAACTTGGAAGCCCAGGATTAGATGATTGCTTGGGTGTCTTGTGCTCCTACCAGCCTGCCCACCTCCCCAGGTCTCCTACATTTCCAGCCCAGTGAAGCCATCCCATTCTGGAAGGCAGCTGTGCAGGTCTGAAAAGATGCAAAGTGCCCCTCCCCAGAGCCCACTCCCCTGCCATCTCCTCCACCCTCTGTCACCCTGGAGCTGGAAGTGGCTCTGTTTCTCCAGGGTGCTGCCTCTCTGGCTTCAGGCAGTTGTTGCCTGATGAGGGGTGGGGGAGAAGCGGGTCCCCCAAGAGGGCATGTTCCTGGTAACTGAGCCATGGCCAATGCCCTTCCTGTGAATTCCAGCTGAGATGGGGCTCTCAAAGTTCCCAGGATGACAACAGGGAGCACCTGACAGGGGCCAGGCAAAGGTTGCTGTACACTTTATTGCTTTATTTCAACCCCACCTAGGTGCTGCTTTAGTTCACTTCATGATCCTGAGGACCTTGGGCCACTTCCGGTCTCCTTGGCGTCATCTTTGTGCTCCCTCCCCTAAGCCAATTCATTGAGAATGTCTGTGTCACCACATACTCCTGAGGGATGGGCTCCTCTCTGACTTTGCACCTATGGCCACACAGGTGCCGCCCCATGGGGGCCTCCAGTGCACTCATCTCTGTGCCTGCTTCATGCACAAGGAAATGGAGAATCAACTCCAGGCGTGGACCCTACATCCGCTAGCCTTGGAGGGCTGGTTTGCCTTGCAAACCATATGGCACCATGGAAAACCCCATCTTCCTCATTGTGGGTGTAAACAGCATGGCTCTGCGAACCATGCTCAGCTCCTCATCAGAAAGTTTGGGAGCTCACTGGCACTTAGCAGGTGTGCCTGAGTCACAGCTGGTGGGAGTTACACTTGGAGGGTGTGGCTGGCCTGGCTCTGAGTCACTAGCTGTTTCCTGGCCTGAGCTGCTGGGCCCAGCGGCCACTGCCGCAAATGCTGTGTGGAGTAGTGGGGCCCCCACATGAACCTGAATTACCAGGCTTGGGGACTCGCTGCAGGGGGATGAGTGATGAGGGGCCTGGAAGCTAGGTACAGGCTTCCAGAAGGTGAGCAGAGATTCACACGGGACGCCAATAGCATTTCCCAAAGTATGGTCTGGAGACTTAAGAGAAGAGGTCCTTTGGGGGATCAGTGAGGACCTATTTTCCAACGACACAATCTGTGTGACACTGGATTTTCTTCACACACTGTGACCACAATAACCTGTCATAACAGACAGGGTGCAGATGC